GTACTTTTAAAATATTTGTAGAGAACACAAACCACTGCCTTTTGCATCCGCACTTGTGGATCGTTTTCGCCTCAGGCCAATTGACTTGAAATGGGTATTTGGCTCGGGTGCTGTATGATTACTGTTAAAAGTGTTTGAGCTATTTTTGCAGTGGTCTCTATAGAAACTGCAGTTAATCGTGCAGTTATGAGAGTAGTCTGCCTTTGACGTCATGCTCTTTATTTTTTACTGAATTACTTAATCTAACTGGTGTATATGAGCTTCACAACTGGTAAAAACTCAAATGTGTGGTTTCAGGACAAGTTCTTGTAATAAAGCAGCTTTACAGGTCTCCGGAAAACTGTTGAAATGTAGCCTTGTAAGCAAATACAAGTAATAAATGTAATAAACTTTATTTTCTACACCTTTAAAGGTGGCTTTTCAAAGCGCTTTACAGAATGACAACAGCAACAACAACAATTAAAAATAAACAATAAAAAATACAAAAAATAAACATGATGAGAATATGCAGAGGAGACAGTAGATGGTGGTACTAAATACAGTAGGAGCAGAGGGATAAAAAATGGAACCAGTTTAGTAAAGGCTCTTCTAAAGAAGAAGGTTTTGAGTCTAGATTTGAAGGAGTTTAGAGAAGGTGACTCTGATATCCTTGGGGAGAGAGTTCCAGACATAACAGGAGAAGGCCCTGTCACCCATAGAGTGTAGATGGGTTTGGGTGACTGTTAGGAAATCAGAATTAGAGGAGTAAAGGTTGTGAGATGGGGAGTAGGGCAATACTAGCTCAGACTAGCTCAGGTACTGAGGTGCCAATCCATGCAGAGCCTTATAGGTGAGCATGAGGATTTTGAAGTTGATACGAAACCTGACAGGAAGCCAGTGCAGGGACTCCAGGATAGGAGAAATGTGATCACTTGCACTGGACCTGGTCAGGATTCTGGCTGCCAAATTTTGGACATACTGGAGTTTGTTAAATGTTTTAGATTTAGATACCCTAGCGAGTTGAGCATTGCAGAAGTCAATTCGGGAGAAGACAAATGTGTTGATTAGCTTTTTTTAGCCACAGTTAGTGATAATATAGGGCGTAGTCTAGCGATGTTTGAGAGGTGAAAGAAAGATGTTTTAACAATATGCTGCACATGTGGGTCGAATGTTAAGCCTGAATCAAATTATCACCCCAAGGTTTTTCAATTAAGACACTGAAGCTCAAGTACAGAACCATCTACAGATAGGGTTACAGGATTGGCTTTACAAAGTTGATGGGGGGTTGCCAATAAGCATGACTTCAGTCTTGTCACAGTTAAGATGAAGGAAATTTTGAGTCATCCAAGTTTTTATGTCAGAGATGCATTTAGATAGAATAGAGACAGCCACATCAGTGTTAGGTTTGGTGTGGATGTATATTTGAGTATCATCAGCATAGAAATCAAGTGGAAACATGTAAATGCTGAAAAGTAGGGGACCTAGTATCGAGCCCGGACAAACACCAGACTTAACAAGACCAATTTCAGACCTAAATCCGCCAAGAGAGACAAAGTGAAAATGATCATTGAGGTAAGACTTGAACCATTTGAGAGTAGTGTTAGAAACTCCAAACACAGTCTCAAGACGAGAAAGTAACATGTCATAGTTAACAGTGTCGAAAGCAGCACTGAGATCAAGAAGAATGAGGATACAGACAGAACCAGAATCAGAAGCTATTAGAAAATCATTAGTAACTTTGACCAGGGCAGTTTCTGTGCTGTGAAGTTGAGGGAAGCCAGATTGGAGGGGTTCAAAAAGGTTGCATATCAAGCCATATTAAGTGCATATCAAGGCAACTAAATGTAATTTATGTGGTGTCTTTAGGAATTTGCTGATGTGCATTTATTGGCATTTGTATTTTAAATGTTTGGTAGCTTAATGTAACTATCCGTAATGTTTATATTAAGTTCACCTGTGTAACTTATGTTCATCCCCATGAAACTTTCAAATCACGTTGTACCAGTTGTAATAGAAAAAGTATTTTGTAAGAACCATCATTTCTCTTATAGAGTTGCAATTTTTCAGATGGTGCCACTGAGCTAGTAGTCCGCCATATCTTTAGTATTTCGATTTTTGTATTATGTACTTAGTAATTTTGAATAATTTGTTTTCTCTTTATTAATGTATTAGTTATATGAATTGTTTTTTTGTTTTGCATAAAGGTATCAACAAATTAATGATGATATACTATTATTTGTGTAAATGTTTAGGTTGATTAATCAGCCAGTGGCTCTCTTGTTTAAAAGTATTTGTATTGGAAATAACTCTAGAGAGGCAGTTATGTTTCAGACGGTACAAAAGAATTCTACACAACGCTGCTAACTAGTGTAGCTCTAGTTTCTAGTGGTTCTTGTGGACCACATGAAACTTAAAAGTTTGTTTGAAATATGTTTGTTGTTTGGCAATATCCTAACATGCTGTATTCCTATGTAACTATAATATGTATTATCACATGTACATGCAATATCACATTTACACTGCATGCTGTCTGGTTGATCTCATCACAATAGGTTGAGTGACTCAAAAAAGAGGTGAAACTAAAAGACCTTCTTAACTGCAAGGAAGTGTTAATTTATCAGTATTTATCTTTATCAAAAACATTTCGGCTTCTTTACCTATTTTCTCTTTTCTTATAACCTGTTTTGCACTACTGTTTGTACAGCGTTCTTCCTCAGCTAAAACATAATGAGATTTCCTGAGGTTGGGGGGATCACTAATGTTTCTGTGGAATCTGTGGTAATCACAGAGATGATTACTTTGCAGAAATTGGTCTAGATTAAGAGAGATGTTATTTCAGAGAATGCCTGAAGCACTGAAATTGAAGGGTTGTGATCTTAAGCAACTTCTTAAGGAATTTCAGAGGTTATTACAGGTCACCCAGCTGATTTTAGTACTAAAAAACAAATCAATTTTCACTTCCCCTGTTATCTCCATTCATGTCTGGGCAAAAGAAAAATGCGTAATGAACCACAGTTACCATTTTAAATCTGACATTATGTTAAAATGTTTATTATTATATGTAACTTATATAAAGTTTTTTTCCTATTCTGTATCCTGTTACACTGTATACAGTGCCTTGCAGAAGTATTCGCACCCTTTTGGTGTGAGATTTTGTAAAATTGCAAAATGATGCATATACTTTTTTAATTTAATATTTTACTCTAAACCTGAATTGTTAAATTGAAGACTTAAAAGTATAATGAATATTACAGTACTGTCATCAAAAACTAAAGATAAAAAAATACATATGCTGATTGTACTGTATAAGTATTCACACCTGTAAATGTCAATATTTGGTGAAAGCACCACTAGTCTTTTTTACCATCTGCAGTGTGTATGGCTGGCTTGGTGGAATTCTTAGCCCATTTTTCTTGGCAGAGTTGCTCAAGAGTTCCTCAGAGTTGCTCAAGTTCCTTAGGGATTGCTTGTGATCAGCAGTTGTTGAGTCTTTCCACACATTCTCAATATGATTCAAGTAAGAACTTTAACTGGGTTCTCAAGGACATTCACTTCTTATATTAAAAATACTGCACAATTTGAAGGCTTTGGCCTTGTGCTTTGTCTCAGTCCTGAATAAAGTGAATTCTTGACCAAGTTTTAGTTCTGAAACAGGTTTTTCTCTGAGATTTGCCAATACTTTGCTCCATACTGTATATGTTCCCATCAGTCTGGACAAGCTTCCCTATTCTTGTTGATGAGGAGCAGAACCACAACATAATACAGCCACTCCCATGCAGAAGGAATGATGTTCTGTAACTGTGTGATGTGCTGTGGTGGGTTTGCATCAGATATAATGCTTTTATAACACTCCATCAAATTCCAGTTTTGTTTTATCTAACAGTAACATATTTTGCACTGTGTTTTCTGCATCAATTTATTTCAAACTTGATGTGGGATTTTAGATGTTTTCCCATTTATATAGTGGTCAGGCTATTGTTGGCCTAGAGACAATTTCTCCTGTCTTAGGCACTGAATTCTTGTTGGCCTCTTGGTACCATTTTTAACAAGTTTTCTCTTTGTTCAGCTGCTCGGTTTGCAGGGACAGCCTGATCTAGACATTTTCTAGGTGCCTTCCACTTCTTGATGATATATATGATTACCTTCAAATACATATGATGGGTTTTTGAAATGTTTTTAAGTTTTCAAGTGTCCAAAGGTCCTAATGTGTTAATATTCTTATAATTAATAATTTAGTAGTGGATAGACTGCCACCTTAGCCGACAATGAAAGAGGGACAATATATGTATACTCACATTCCACAGTGCAAAGGTGGAAGGACACTTTCCTACAGTTCTTTACTGAAGCTGTTGAGTCACAAAATTCGGACTTCTACTGCTATACAATATACATAATGTGTCATTTGTTTTTCTAACCCCATTTGGTAATGTATAACTAATCTACTGTTAATTGTGACTAATCCCCCTTTTAATCTTTCATTTGTTTTACTGAAGAACACTTTGTTTTTTTCTATATCGCATTGATTTCCTATCACTGAATTTGAGAGAATGGATGAATGAACTTGATTAATTAGGCTTTCTTTTTTGTTTTTTCCCCAGTCCATTTCTTTGAAGGTTGTATGTAATTTAACATTTATCTTATTTCTGTGTTTATTAAGTGATGCTTCATAAAAACAAGAGAACTGAAAAGGGGATTTAATAACACATCCTTTACACCCAAAAGACTTTTATAGTGGTAAACTGTTAGTCCTAAGCCCTATTACATGGCTATAGACTATATTACAAATTCTTTAGTATCTATTTTCTGATAATGTTATTCGTTTTCAACAGAATTCCAGATCGTACTCTTCTTGAACGTTTTTGAGACTTTGTTTAACGGTATACATTAGATACAGTAACTTGTGCAACATGACACTACAGAAGCTCTTCCCTCTGGACCTGTTAATTTAATTAGCTGTAAAGATAAGGCTCAGCTTTAATAAATTATTATGCTCATTGTCTTTCTTTCTCCCTTTTTTCCAGACTGCAAATGGATACATCTTGCTCTTTGAAGTTGTGGGTAATGGAGAGGACAAATACCTGTATGAGCCTGTGTATCCCAAGTGAGTCGTCTGTATACCTTTCTCTATGTTTCCAAAGGGTTTCCGTCTACAGCAGAAATGAAACTCAGAGTCAAAAGAGGCACTTCAGGCTGCTTTAGACAACCCACTGCACACTCCTCATATATTTCCAAGACAGCTTTCAAAAGTGTTTTACCCTGTTGTTACTTAGGATACATTCTTGCTTGTTTTTTAAAACTGTGCTTAAATGTAGTAAATGGAATTCAAAGCTGTTTTATTCCACCATTAAACAATTTTTTTTTTACCTTTAGTAGTTAGTGGAACAGATCTAGCCTCAAAGCTCAAAGTTTTGAAAATGTGTTTTAGTTATCTGAAATTATTGTTCAATTCTGCAAAAGCTGAAGTGTGTTTGTTCACCATTATACCAGTATACTATAGTAGCCTTCAGAGTTTGTTCTTTCTTGTCTGAACAGTGTGTGAAGGCCACTTGGTTGGAGGCTAATGTTACACCCTAGCACATTCTTATTTTGGCTAAGTTGTAATTTAATTATGTAGGGTTTTTGTAATCGATATGGTACATGATAGATATGATAGGCTTAAACGTAAAGTGCCATGGTTATGGAAAGGAATCTTTAAAGTTTTACATAAGAATTTAGTCACCATAATGGTAGAAACAAAAAGAGTTACATGGCAAAATGTGTCTGTGTTCTTAGTGTAATATCGATACCCATACTATATGTCAACTTCATATGTCTAAATTATTTTTTTAAATTTTTTAAGTTTGTAGCTTTCAAAGAACAGCTCTATTTGATAGGGTTTTACTTCCCTCTTAGTCTGTGTGTTACTCTGGGGACTATTCCACTAGTATCTGGTCGTCTGGTTTCAGTACCAATTTAAATTCCTCTTCATCAAAGGGTTTTTTCAACAGGGTATATAAAATGGTTCATATATAAACTTAAACTAAACTGAAACAAAATACAAACTTTTTTAAATTTGGTTATCCTTTAAATTGGAGTTTAAACGTAATTCCAGTCCATGGCATGGATAATTGTCTCTTTGTAATTTCCTCAGTTTACACAGTTGTTAAGGGTTGAGAAACTTAGTTTTCCTGATTGGCTGCTGTTTAATGCATCATAATAAACATACAGTATGTCAGAAATTATATCACATTGAATTATATAAAGAAACAATACTTCATATTGTTTATATCGTTGGGGCAGCTGCCATGCTGAGGTGCTTGAAGCTGTTTCATGTGGAAAATGTTTTGCACACTGTCAAAATAAAATTAGCATATTTTTTCACTTTGAAAATTTAAACTTTTAAAAGTGTGCTGTTATTTAACATAGGGAAAGAAAGGCCTTTTCCCCGACTTTCCCACTTTATAAGAAGGAGCTTAGCTACGGTAGAATATGTATAAATTTCAGTTTAGGTTTATATTTAAGATAAAATACATTTACATATAAAATAAATTATATAAACAGCTCCTATAGATACATTTATGTCAGAAGACTTTCTTTGTAATGTGTGAAGGGAAAGCTCCAAATGCGATAATTTCTCTTGCAGCTCTTCTGATTTTGAATGACAGAATTGAAATAATATCACAGGTACTGTATACTGTGTGTTTTCAAGTCTTCAGAGTTTGTTCCTTGTCATCTGAGCAGTGTCCCAAGGCCACTTGGATGGAAGCTAATGTTACACCATAGAATTGCTTGGAAAATTGCGTAGATCCCTTGGTTTTTACTCCACAGTTTTAAAATAGCCCAGTCACAGATGAATTGCACATTTCCTCCTTGTCGAAGTCTGGACAGGTAGAACCCTGTGCTTAACTTGTGCTGCAGCTTTAGCTCTGACACCACTCGGTTTGAGACTGTCCCTGCTCTGGAGGTCCCTGGAGCACAGGTCCCTCGCCTCCTCGTGAGATGAAGACTTGAAAATCCTTTTTTTAAGCATTTTGACACATTGATTTCATTTTTGCAAAATCCTTATTTGCTGATTGTGAGTCAATGACTTGAAGCTTAAAAGGAACAGAACAGCATGCACACACTGTCATGATGTCATATGCTGTCAAAAAGTCATGATGACATATGCTATTGCTAATATCTTTTAAACCAACATTGTGTTTTAGTCATGGATTTAAACAGTCTTGAAAATTAAGAGACAAGTATCCTTAAAATATTTTTTAAAAGTTTAATTATAAAATTATTTTTGCCAATATGGTTACTTATGGTAGGGTAACATGGTGGCATAGTGGTTAACATTGCTGCCTCAAAGCTCTGAGTCCCAAGGTTCAGTTCCTGGGGTGCTGTCTGAGTGGAGTTTGCATGCTCTCCCCATGTTTTGTCTGAGTTCTCTGGTTTCTTCCCAGTCTAAAGATATACAGGTTGGTTAACTGGCTTTGTCTTATTGGGGAAAGTTGGCCCTGGTATGAGTGTGTGCGTGTTTGCTCCAGTGTGTGCCCTATGATGGACTGGCGTTCTCTCCAGGCTGTATTCAACCATTGCTTGCAGTGATAGGGTCCAACTCCCCTGTGGTCCTGTACTGGATACAGTTTGAAAATGAATAGATGGATTACCCATGGGATATATACAGAGCAATATCAGATAGTGAGAGATTTTCCAGGTTCTGAAACCCTACAGTTCAGACAACACGTACATGAGAGTGGGAATGTTTCAAAACTGGACTAATAACACATGATTGTGGTCTTTGAAATGTATAATTAAAAAGTTTTATAAGATACCTTGTTAGAATTTCATTGACAGTAGAAATTTGAAAATGGTTTAAAATAATTTACATGGATGTTCAGCATTATGCTCCCAGTATCTCTGTTGCTTTTCATACATCCAGTCTCTCCTGCTCACATTGGGCTTCAACATCTTCATCAGGTTTACAAACAACAATTTCAGTAGTACAAATGTTTTATTACCTCTGCTGGGACTTGGAGGTATCATAGGAGGACTCTACATTTTTTGCTACATATTTCATAAATCCATACCTGATGTGGACATGTACATCTTTTGTGCCTACCACTATTAGCAAATGAAAAAAGTTGTCCTCAGTACTTTTGTGTTCATAATATTGAAATTATTTTGGAAATGTCTAATGAAGGTTCTGAATAATTTACTTTTGTTCTATCACAGTGCAGCTGTATGCATACTGTATGTTTTGCACGGAAATAAAGTGTCAGTCCATTTTGCTACTGCTTCTGAAATTAACTGCTTTTAATCATGAATGCCAGTACACTTAGTGCAAGTTTGGACATCATTCATTTTTCCTATAGATACATTATTTTCTGAATAAACTTGTACATCAGACATAAATTCATAATCTATAACCTACTAAAATTATGCTTGTTCAAAAATCTGATATTAGATTTCAGCAAACCGAATGGTTCCAAAAGAGGTAACATTCATATTTGTAAAGATTGTCAGAATTATGCTGTTTAATGAGTCTTTTTGTCTCTGATTTAGAACTACCAAGACACTAAAGACACTAAAGCAAAACACTTTTACGTTTAAGTGGATTTTTATTGTTATATATGGTATACTTTTAAAGTAATTGTAGTAATAAATACAGAACACAAAGTATTGTATTAGATGTTTTTTTTCTTTTCACCTGAAAGGTTGTTGCACACTTTTCACTTATGTTTTGGATTTAACTTGCATATTTTATTAAATGCAATTTAAAAATCACAAGCTAACTATTCAATGAAATCAACACATTTTTTTGAACCACCAACATTTTCAGAAGGCCATGCCAAAGCCTTACCTTACCCTTGAGTAAACACCACCCTTGTCTGGTAATATAACATTAAAGATAGTTTAAATATAAGGACAACCAAAGTGGCTCCATGTCTGCATGAATACTGAAATTATGGCTGAAATTCTAAGCAATATAATAACTAGGATGGTTTTAAATTAACGTGCATGTTCTTATGTGTTAAAAATAAAGGGATTTAAAAATGTGAGTATTGAGGGTAGAATTTTATTTTTCTCTTGTTCCCGGTGTTTTGGGTTTAGCCTGTTTAAGTTGGACAAAGTTGCATTTTGTAAAGCCTCAGTATGCTAAAGAGTCTTTAGCATAGTCTCATAATTGAGATATTTGGGGCATTTTGCTTTAGTTTGAAAACAACACAGAGCTTTTCCATCCATCTTGTTCTTTTTCTGTTACACACGTTCTCTCTAAGGCATATTGCTGATCTGTACACAGTCCCCAGATTGTACTTGAAAGGGTCCTGATACAGAACAACTGTATATCTAATTATTATCATACCTCATTTTCTCTACCTCCACATGAAAATGAAAGAAGTATTAGTGCTTTTTTAATTTACATTTCTTTAGTGTTATTACTGAAAGAGTGACCGTGGCTTCTCGGAAGAAACAACTGGATAAGAACCTTGTTGGTTGGAGTACACTCCTATCAAGCCCTTCTTATGTTCCTTTTAGAATTTGGAGCCAACTCTTTTTTTAGTTATGCAACTTTGCTATCAGTACCTGTTTTCAAATGCAAAGATGGTCATTTGTGACCCTTAACCTTGGGTTCCTCTGAGAATAATAAGATGTGAAAAAGAGAAACTTCAGTTTTCTTTTTCTCATTTTTACACAACTGTGCTGTACAGCACAAACCATACAGTCTGCTCCATCATCTGACTTGGTTACTTCCACATGTATACTGCCATAGAAGATGCTGATATTTCATGCCAGTATGACTTGACTGTCATATTGTTAACTCCAATGATGAATTAAGTAAAAATGTTATGAATTTAGTAAGAAAAAATAAATCGGTTTAAGAGGATAATAACTCTACTGTATTACCGGCCACAAGCCTCTTGAGTGGCCTTTTTTGCACATGTGAATTCTACTGCATGTAAAGCCTGTAAGGCCTTCTACTTCACTGGCAAGCATAAAATCCACTCAGCATTAACAGCTTTATGCAACCAACAAAGTCAATAACAAAAACTTCATATGTTATGATGTTGAGAAAATAAAACCAAAATGTGGACAAGGCAAATAAGTAGACCTGTTCACCTTTTCACCAGTTAACCC